CTAGTGAAGATGTGTCACAAATAAGCTGGATGATTAATATATGGAAGTACTATGCTGGCAGAAGAAGAGCAAAGTCAGGTGAAAATTGTAGAATTACTGGAAGCAGCGCAGAAAATCCAGCTTGAGAAAGATCAATACAATTACTCCAGAGAAACACTGAAAGGGGGAGATAACAATATTTTGAGCTGTGGACAAAAAAAATTTGGAGTGGATATGTTTAGAGGTGTTTATAGTTAACACAGAAATATAATTTTTAAGGTTTTCTTAACTGTCTTCCAGAGAAAAGCTGTAGAGTACAGTACAGAGGAGCTTTTCAGCTCTTTTAGGATGGCAGTACCAGAGGGAGTAGTGACAACTGCTGTTTTTATTGGGACAGCTAACTGTGCCCCAGGTATAGAATTGTAAAAGTTCAGTATTTTCACCTCCTGAAAAACCAGAGGATCAAACAGATGACTTTGTGATTTGGTCAGCTGTAATGAATTGTGTCTTCAAGGCAAGGCTTTGGGAGCTGTGGGGAGGCTTCTGTGAGGAGGTGCCAGAAGCCTCTTCTGTGTGTGACAGAGCCGGTGCCAGCCAAGACAGACCTGCCTCTGGCCAAGGCTGAGCCCATCTGTGGTGGTGGTAGTGCCTCTGGGACAGTGGGGAATGGGGGAGGAAAACCTGCACAACAGAGGCAGCAGTTCAAGAAGAGCAGTGAAAGCATGTGAGAGAAGCAGATCTGCACACAGGAAGGTCAGTGCAGGAGGGGAGGAGATTCTCCAGGTGCCAGAGCAGCCCATGGTGCAGCCCATGGTGAGGCAGCTGTGGCCCAGCAGGCCGTGGAGGTCCGTGGTGCAGCAGGGATCCTCCTGTGAAGGATTCTGTGTTGGAGCAGGTGGATGCTTGAAGGAGGCTGTGATCCTCTGGGAAGTCTGTGCTGAAACAGGCTCCTGGCAGAACCTGTGGCCCTGGGGAGGGAGCCACACAGAAGCAGGTTTGCTGTCAGGATTGTGACCCTGTGCGGTCCCACACTGGAGCAAGCTGTTCCTCAAGCACTGCACCCTGTGGAAAGGGACCTGTGCTGCAGCAGTTCCTGGAGAACTGCAGCCCATGGGAAGGACCCATATTGGAGAAGCTCGTGGAGGACCCATGTTCCCGTGGGAGAGACCCACGTTCTCCTTGTCTTTCTCTGGAGCCTGGGAGTCTTTTTGTTGTGTTTCCTCTCCCCTGCCCATGGAGAGGACAGATAGAGTGGCTTGGGTAGGCACCTGGCGTCCAGACAGGCTCATCCCACCACGTGTAGACAAATACAAAGGCTATATCCAAGCACAGGCTGAGGAATTGGAACCTAGTTTTCCACATGGAATTTTCTAGTAAATTGAATGACATGCAGAGTTTCTTCACAGTTCTCTTTTACTTCCTTATTTATTAAAAATTGAATCTTATTCTTTCAATTAATCCATTGTCCAGAGTTTTGGGGCGCAAGCACTACAAATTGTTAGGAAATGTCTGTGAAAAGGCATAGTTTAAAAACAAGTGGTGTGCATGAATCTTTTGAGGAGAGAACTGTAATTTCTCTTCTGGTCAGCAGCTGCTTTAATTTTTGATCCATGGAAAGCTTTAAATGGTGCAACCCCCTGAGTTGTCTCTGTGATGTGATCCATAGGGTTTCTCCAAAGACACTGGTAACATTCTGCACTAATGACATGCTTCTTGGCACGCTGATGGCAGGAGACAGCGCCCTCTCCACTGTGACCCATGTTATTGTGGTGAGCATCCTGTGGTCTTTCATGTGGGGTGGAGCAATATGTATTGCTTTGGAAAATGAGGTCCTCATTTGTTTTATTTAAATTTGCTGAGCACTTTAGGTGTTTTTGTTTGGTAGAATCTGAATCAACTTTAAAGACTTTCTGAGTCCTCAGAGTAGAATGCATGTCTTGTGCAGTTTGGTGTTTTTCTGTGTGTTTGTGTTTTTCCTGTAAAAATATCTTATTTTCATGCCAATGATTAAGTGTGGAATCAGGAGGAGTGGAGAAGGACAGAAGTGTAAATTTTTCTGAACTTCCGTGGTCAGGAGAAAATCCTTAGGGAGGCTTACATTGATGTGGTTCAATGTGATTGTGTCAGAATTTCTCTTACCATTTGTTTTAGCAATACAGGTTTTCAGTCCATTTGTTTGCCCAGAGTTTTCAAGATAATGTGGAGTCTAATTGCTAGCAAATTATTCAGATTGTTCATTTGTGATTATGTCAATATTCCTATTGTGGAATTGAATAAGGGGAACTGGAATGTTTTTGGCAAGATTTAAGTACTGAAGATTAAAAGGTAAGTTTAGGTGCCTGCCTGTTTATCAAAGTTGAAAAAGCATGAGAATGATCTATACATTCTTGATGTCAGCCTACAAACTTTGTATTTTGAGTCCTTGTTTCCTTCATTCATAATATAGATCAAAACAGAAGAATGAAAAAGATGATTAATCAGTTATGTGCCTTAACTTACAGGCTTTGTGTGTGACTTGTCTAACCAATTTGTCTGTTTTTCTGATTATGTGGTGGCATACATTTCTTTAAATGCTTATCAATGGTGAAGTGAGAATTTATTAAAATAAGATTTGTAGTTTGTGGTGTTTTCTTGAAATTTGGCCTCAAATACACAATCAGAGAGGTTTCAGATATTCACTTTAGCCTCTAAAGTTAAAGTGTTTATGGCTTCAGCATTGCAACGCACTCAGCGCTGATAAAAACTTTTTGAGGTGTTTTAGTTTCTTTATGGATAGTTTTTTAAAAAAACCCTATTAGTTAAACTAGACTCACACATTTTAAGGCCTCTGTAATGTGCCACCAAAACATGTATTTTTTTTTTAGAGAAGTTTGTTTTTGTCAGAAGTTGTGATCCTGAATCTGTGATGGTTTTTCATCTTTTTTTTCCCCTTCTGTTACAGGATGAAGTACATGAGAGGGACAGGTTCAGCGACTTCTTGCTAATAAAACTGAGAGATGTGCTGAAAAAACAGAATAATTTAAAACTAATTCTCTCTAGTGCTGCTCTAGACGCAAATCTCTTTATTAGGTATTTTGGAAGCTGCCCAGTAATACATAGTAAGTCTTGATCTTAACTCTTAAGTCTGAGTATACCTGCCCTGAGACTCACAGATCTTACTAAACTGTAGCAAATTATTCTGAGTAAAGGCATGATTAATACACTGAGAATTACAGGAATCCTTGTTCTTTCTGTATGCAGGTTTCTTGTTTCTTGACTATTTGCACCTCATTCAGAGTGAAGTGTTTTAGTCACTGGGAGTTCTGTAAATGCAGATACATCCTGCCCCCCTCCACTCTTAATTGAAGAAGTAGGAAGAGGTTATTGAAGTTCTGTCTTCATGCTGATACAGGACTTAGGAGCTACATGAGTGTGATATGTATCAATGCATTCCAGTAGGATCTTACTCTTCAGGCTTTGTGAAGGTTGTTACTGGTTACTGGATAAAACACAGATAACTGTACCAGTTCAGTTCAGAAATACAGGCTTAGACAGATTGGGTTTCACATGAAAAAAGGATCACATGATTCTCTGATTTAAAGAAAATTAGTAGTTGTTCATCTAGGTAAATATTCAGAAAAGACATCCAGTTTCGCTTATTTTGTGTTCAGACTCAGTTACCTGCAGTTAGACTACATTCAAATGCAAAGAAAAGTTACCATTTTTTGCTGGTTTAATTTCATTTGACTGATCTTTAGTAAAGGCAAAATGTAAATGCGTGGGAGATGGGGGGTTTTTGTGGGTTTGCAGTTTTTGCCCCACCCTCCTGGCTTGCAGGTTTTCTGCATGGGTGACCTCCTCTGGCACCTTGCAATCCTCTTACTTTTTCAACAGTAATGTCCAACTTTAATGTGTTTTGAAAAGTAGCTTTTAAGAGAAATGCTTTATTTGACAATCAGGTAGACTCTCTGCATGTCAGCCTTTTTAAAAAAAATCTCAACGGTTTTAGGAAATGGGATTGCTTACTGGTTTATTTTAGCAAATGTTTGTGAGGAGGAAACCTTTTTTTCCTTTCTTTTTTTGCAGATGGAAGTGTTTAGTTCTCCGTTTTGAATTTCTGCCCAGTTGAATAAGGTTTGCAGCTTGTTGGAGACAGGAATCTGGAAATTACACGTGATTTCATGTTCTCTGAATTTTTTTTGCAAGGGAGTGCCTCAGTTGTGATTGTTGTATGACTTTCCAGTTTACTCTTTTTGCAGCTTCCTGTTCTTTCGGATCGGTCAATTTGTGTTGGAAAATCTGATGGCAATCTTTCCCAATCTCTCCAGTTTACCACAGTGTTTGTGCTGGTTATGTAACAGGCCAATAACAATTCAAAAGATGTTCTTTTCCCTTTTTTTTTTTTTTTTTTTTTTTTTTGGTTAATTTAAGAATTAAAAGAAGCGGCTTTGTCTGTTAATGTAATATACAAGGTTTGAGTCTCCTTCAGCAATATGGCTGACAAAATCCTGACCACAGAAACCACATTTTGTAGCTGTGGATCGCTGTAGTACACAGAGTTTGTGATCAGTGTTGGAAGGCTTCCTCTGTGACAGCTTCTAAAAGTATGTGAATTGTGGATTGTTCTTTCTGAAGGAAAATCCTGAGTGTTCCTGAGTCAGGTTAAGGAACAAGAAATCAAAGTGTAGAGATTTTAATCTTCATGCAAAAAGCATCCTGTAATGTCCACAGATAAGGTCTGGAAAATAGTCATGTTGAAAAAGAAATCAGGATAAATTACCAGAAGGTAAAGGCCACTGGGATGTCTCATCTGTCAAGAAGTATTCAGTAAAGAAAGCTCAGCTTTGCTGAATTAGTTGAGGATATGGAGATAAGGCTGCCTTCTTACATGCTTCTCAGGAAAAGAAAGTAGTTCAGTATAAAGATGTACTGTCTCTGTGTGGAACCTTGCAAAAAGCTGTATTAATTGCTTATTAATTAATTACATTTTTAATCCAGATGGCAGACTTACATGGCAGGTTCTTGTTTGTAACCCTAAACAAACACGGCTGTTTTCTTTTCCTCATTTAAAAAAAATTGTAGTTAATAACTGTCAATCTTATGAACATCTCCTGCTATAACACTTCATAAAATTGAAGAGGTTGAGGAGAAACAAGGTGGCATTTGACTTTGGAAATATTTTGTTTTGTACAGTTTTGAGAAAAATAAACTCCAGTGAAGGTAGTTTTTTAAAAGAATTAATTCTGTAAGTGAAGCTAGTGAATATAGAATCTTTTATGGATTTTTTCTATTTTAGTCCAAGGGAGACCTTTTCAAGTTAAAGAGATGTTTCTGGAGGACATTTTACGAAGCACTGGGTATGCAAACAAAGAGATGGTGAAGTACAAAGAAAAGAAGCAGCAAGGTCAGTGGATTTGTTAATTGTAAGGGTTGGCAATGAGAATCATTGATTGAACAAACAGTTAACAGGATTATTTTCTATTAAAATTCCAGAGTCAGGAGATTAAATGAGATGTGATTAGATGACAGCAAGTGTCTTTAAGCTCTCAATATTTACATTTTTGAAATAGTTTATGCAATTAAAGAAAAAAAATCACTTTGATTCAGTGGTTGCATTCTTTTTTCACTCAGTTGATAAATGTCATCTTTTTTCTAATTGTTATGCTGTAGAATTATATATAACTGGGGGCTCTGCCCACATGAATACTAAAGAAGCATAGGATGCTCTGTACCTTTGGGTGCAAATTAAAGTGCAGCTATTAAAGCAGGCATGATTTTGTACATCTTGCACTAAATTCCCTTCAGTAACATTTTTCACTGCTTTCTTCAGGCATGGATGTATTTTTTTAAGTGTTAACACTCTTGAGCTAAACATCATTGGGTTTAAGTTGATTAAGTAGATACTGCTTCAGAAGTTTTCTTGGCAACTGAAAGTAATGATCCCAGTGATTATTTAAAGAAAAATTAAAAAAAAAATGCAAACCCCAAAGTTATAACATACAGTCCTAACTGGATATTGATCACAGTGCTCACCTCTGATCACTGGAGTCAGAAAAGTTCAGTTAGGACCCTGGTGTTTTCTAAGGTTTCTTCCACTTGTGTAGAAAAGTAAGTTGTTACATGCAGGGACTGTATCACTCGTCTTCAGAATTCCATTTGTGGAAAAAGATCTGGTCTGAGATTGTGTGGAAGGTGATTACTTAAGGAAGATACTTTGAATGCAGTAGTTTGGAATAACGGAGGTTTTGGGGGGTTAAACACCAAAGTGTTGGGTTTTACCTTGTTTTTATAGCCCTTGTTTGCAGTGGTGCCCTTTGGGTACCCTTAAATATGTCATTTATGTTGGACTGGTAGTAGCATTCTGGACTAAATAAAAGAGGTTGAATAGGTAAAACTTGGTAAAACCTGCTGTAACTAACTTTTTTAGTAGAAAACAATGGATAAGAAATATGACTCTAAAACTTTCTTGGGGAATACTTTGCATTCTAGAAGAGAAACAGAAGAACACTCTTGCTGAGTGGTGTTCAGCTCAAGATAACACTAACAAAGGGACATCTCGGAGACAAAAATCAGTTCCAAGGACAAATGAGGAGTACAAATGGTTGGATGATGGTGGTGACACAGTATTTAATCAACTGGTAAGTTTTTTCTTTTGTCGGAAGAGATGTTTATATTTGTGTTGTATTCTAGCCATTTAAAATCTGTTTTCTACAGTTCTGTTGAGTCTCTCAGGACAGTAACGTATTTTAAAGATTACTTGATTAGGATGAACTGCTCTAGCTGAAGTGTGCTCTTCAGACAGGGTGGTTGCGCACAGCTTTTCCTCAGATCAAATGGCTCGACTGCCATTGTGTTCGTACTTGCATATGACAAAATCAATGCATTAACTGATACCTGAGTTAGGTATATCTACACTGATATATTTGGGTTTCTGTTGCTGCTGGGAAAAATAACCATTCCAATTCTTTGTGGGTAATGTATGAGAATAAAGACAACTCTTGGAAGAGATTAAGCTTTCAATATTGTTTTTTATCTTCAGACTGAAAAAGATGTGAATTGCCTTGAACCGTGGATAGTAAAAGAAATGGATTCCTGTCTTTCTGACATCTGGTTGCATAAAGATATTGATTTGTTTGCTCAGCTGTTAAATCTTATTTTAACTGAAAATGTCAGTGGTAAGTTTCATGTGTTATTACATAAAAAAAAGCAACCTCAAATTTACTTAGATTTTTATGGCTACTTTTATCTCCAGTTTCAAATGGTGTTACCTTTGCATTCTGATGCCGACTGAAAAAATGATAGGGCTAGCAGAAATAATGGGTTGTTTAGTTAGTTGTTGTTTTGAAGTATTGACAGAAGTGTGTTTCTAAAACAGTGTAGAATTCATATGAACTAACTTCAGAGATAAAGTGAGGAAACAAATTCTCTTTGGGCTGGAATTTGAAAGCAATATTTGTACTATATTTAGATGAAAAAATAACATTTCTCTTGGGTTTGCTGGATTCTTTTTTTTCTTTTACTTCTCAGTTCATTATAGGCACAGTGACTGCTCTGATGATTTCTTCAGGGAGAGGCTTTTTGAGTCAAGTAGAACAGTTGATCAGCATGGGAGCAAGTATCCACTGCAAATCATCTAATGGCTGGTAAAAACAGAGAAACCAAAAGATAGATTTATATGTCAGTATAGGAGAGAGAAAGAAAATTGTTTAACATCTAAATTAATTTGCTAACTTATCACACTGCTGTAAGAACTATAGATTTTGACAGCCTCAACAATTTCTAACTCCTGATAATCACATTGTTTTCTGTAAATTCTAAATTGAATTCTTAATTACATGGTCTTGATTATGAGCTATAAACTTTGTTTCAGTAGGTCTTATTTAAGATACTGGTTAGCAGAACAACTGTAATCTACTGAATTGGACCAAAATATTTGGCAATTCCTATTTTCATGGAGTTACCCATATCAGAAGATCTTTCTGTTATGTTTCTAAATATATTGTAGCATGTAAAAATATTTGTGAATCTGTAGAAACTCAGGTTTTGTGGTCATGGATTATGTCTTCATATAAACAGGGAAGTACAGTAAATAATTGTTGTATGGAATGATAAGAATTAGGATTCCAGGGGTCTGATATTTGGTACTAACATTTGAAAAAACTTGGGAAGGAATGCAGTTTAAAGATAAAACAGTGAACTGCATCGTGAGGAGGACAGCGTCTGAAAGACATGAAATAGCCAAATGTTATGCCTGGGGTGTGACCTTTTGAGATGACTTCAAGGATACTGCAAACAGGCAGGTCTGATCTCTGCACCTTGTTGTGGACTTTTTAAAGGAATGGCACTTTCTTCCTCCTCACTTCCTTGTGCATGTTTGCTCCTGTGTAAAACGGACATTCTTTTGTGGTAAAGAACTGTAGTCACCTAAAAGTCAGATAGCTGTTAACACCTATTCATGCACTTTCAAATGGGAAGTTGCAGATCCAGCAATAACAGTACGGATGTCAGTACAGAAATGGGTACAAAAGTCTGGTGTCAAGTGCCTCTCCTGATGCGCTCTTCATATTCATCTTTTGAAGTGAAAAGTCTAATAAAAATACTTGTGCAACTATTTCAGGATGGCTGTGGACTGGGCTAGGCACTTTGGACAGACGGAGGTTGTTCATCTGTTGGAATCCTACAGGTCAGTTGTAACTGTTTTGCAGAATCAGTTGTATATGATATACAAAGAGTTGTGATGGGAAATTTGAGGTTTGTGTTCTTTTAATCAGAACAGGTTTTAGCTTTTCATGGTCTAAAATCTGGACTTAATGGCAAGACTTCTTTTTAAGAATAGGAATATTTAAAAAAATAAACAGCAAAAAAGTTTGTACTCAGTATCATATTGTTTATGTTTGCACAACTTGCTAATTCTATACTTTTCACATGCTTACTTTGGAAACAAATCTGTCATGTGTTTTTATTTATCCTTTTTATATGCAATAGGCATATTAAAGAAAATTTACAGAAGTAATGTGTACACTAGGCCATTCAAGAATGATTTTCTGATTAACTTACAGTTATCGTACTTGAGGTAGTGTTTTGTAAAGCTTATCTCTACTATAATTTCTCTTAGTGTAGTTTCTGCTAGTGGGAAATTTTTGGAGAACACGTATCTCTTAAGTATTTTTACTTGAACAGATAAACGAGAAGTATCTTTATACTTTCCTTTGCTTATGGTTGTGTTTCAATGAAGTTGAAGAAAACTAAAGTTAACACTAATAAATAAAGTGGCATCCTTCACTGGGTTAACATTGAAATCAGTAAACAGTAATAGTATGGTGATTCCCTTCTGCTACACTTAAACATCAGAATTCAAGACCAATAGTCATATTGGTCTTGAACTAACTTTGAGTGGATGGCTCAATGCAAACCCGAAGGGGCAGCCTTGATTCTGGTGTATTTTCCTGTTACAGCGCTTCATTCGGATTTGGAAACATGGATGAAAGTTCCCTGGTCCAAAAAAGTGCTAGTGACCTTAGTGCAGAGGACAGAGAGCTACTGACAGCTTATCATCACAGTTTTGATGATGAAAAAGTGGATCTGGATCTGATAATGCACTTACTTCACAGCATCTGTCATAGTTCAGATGCAGGTAGGTAAATACCTAACCAGTGGTTGTGGATTTGGCTTCTGATGAATCATGCTCTTTTTTCAGCAATCCACAAACGTTAAAACCTTCTGAGTGCTATTCGACATGTATTTGAATTTTCTGTTTAACTTTGCAAACCCACTTCCTTTTTTAGGAGCAATTTTAATATTTCTTCCTGGGTATGATGAGATAGTGAGCCTGAGAGACCGCATTGTTTTGGATGATAAGAGATTCACTGATAATGCTCACAGGTAAAACCTTTAGTTACTGTGGCTTTTCATTGCTTCTTTTAAGGATCCTTAAAATGTTCCTTTTGTCTTGCGTTAGATACCAAGTTTTCGTGCTTCATTCAAGTATGCAGACTTTGTACCAGAAGAAAGTGCTTGAAAGTCCACCTTTTGGCATTCGCAAAATTGCAAGTATTAGAGGACTTTTTCCAATGCCACAATGACCTATTTTGCCATTGCTTTTACAGTTATTATAGTTTTGGTGGTTTTGGTTTTTTTCTTTGCAGATTCTTTCTACTAATATTGCAGAAACCAGCATAACAGTCAGTGATGTGGTGTTTGTCATTGACTCAGGCAAGGTGAAAGAGGTAGGACTGCCATAAATTTTCCTAGTGTGATTCTAAAACACACAGTGCATAAATTTTGGAGAACTTTTTTTTTATTATTTATGACTTTACAGTAAAGTGAAAAAAAGCTTTACTAGCTGAGAGCTAGTGCCTGTCAGGCAACAGTCCTTGCTGAAAAGTTTCAACATGCATTTGTTTTAAGACAAGTACTGTAAGCTATCTGTCTAAAAAACCTTGAAAATCTTGAATTTCAAAAATTGTGGAGCATTAAGATACTAGAAAAGAGATACCCTCATTAATTCACTCGAAATTGAGAAGGTACTTTTGTGTCAGAACCTGCTGTATATATTACTATTTCATACTTTTTAGAAAACTTCTGTTGGTAATCTAAATAACTAGTAACTTGTATTTCATGTACCCTGTTGAGTTTTCAGTTTGCATTCCTTTCTGTGTTTTTCTAGAAGTCTTTTGATGCACTGAGTCGTGTTACAATGGTAAAAATGGGGTGGATTTCAAAAGCCAGTGCTATCCAGAGAAAAGGCAGGTAATAAATGCCTCATAGCGGTTTCCATTTTGCAGATATCCACAGTCCTTTATGTTTAGAATAAAGCACACAACATAGTAGCTGTTTCTGGCCTAGTCCAGTGTTGTGTTGCATAGTGGCCAACACTCGTTCTCTGCAGGTGAGTAGGCGTCAGCATGTATTTCCTTGGAATAATCTCCCAAGCTGTAGAAAAGTGACGCTCAGGCATTTCCCAAAGGTCTGGGTTGTTTTCCCCCCATTAATTTGTTCTCCTTCCTCTTTCTCCCATGTAGCACCAGCAGTCACAATGTCCAGTGGGGTGTTTTCACATCATGTCTGTCGGCAGAGGACTGCCTATTTCACTTTCTCCAAGCTATCCATGACTTAACAGGCCATGATTATATTCTTCTCAGCACTGTGGGTGAGGGCTCAGAAGTTTATGTAGCAACAAATGCTTGTTTAATCAATCATATTGGCATTAAGCTGCACGTATGCACATAGATGTATATGACTGAGAGAATTTGCTGTCTCTCATTCACTCACAAGTTACTTCATCTTTATTCTACCTTTTACTCCAAGCATCACTTCTGTTTAGGGGATGTGAGGGGAAACAATAAAGTTTGCAACTGGTTCCTTACAACAAAGGATGATTGAGATTTGAACTGGTCTTAGGTTAGCAAAAAACCCACAGCACTTTACATTAGATAAGCCTTGTTTTTCTTTCCTCCAGATTTCTCAGTGTTGGCTTAAAATTACAGTAAAAAATTGACACACTCTCAAAAATAATTCATGATTAGAAAACTCTCACTTTGCGTGTGACTTAACAACGCTTTCTTCATAGTACTGCCTCTTCTTTTCCATTCTGAGTTTCTGTGTCTTTGTTGGCTTTTGGTTTTGTTTTTAGAAAGAAATCCTCATTTTCACAACATTCCATATTTTATTTTCAAGGTCTGGGCGCTGTCAGCCTGGAGTCTGCTTTCGTCTCTTCAGCAGGCTCCGATTTCAGAATATGTTGGAATTTCAATCTCCAGAACTTCTAAGGATGCCGCTTCAGGTGCATGTTCAGTTAGAAACTATAACTTTAAAAAATACAATGTCCTCAAACCATACTATTAATTGCAACAAATCATGTGTTTGGCGGCTGCTTCCAAATCTTGGTAATCTTTTTTTGTTCTGCCTTTTACCTTGCAGGAGATCTGTTTGTACACAAAACTTCTGGCTCCAGTTAATTGTCCAATTGTAGACTTTCTTATGAAAGCTCCTGATCCTCCGCCTGCTGTAACTGTGAGAAATGCTGTGCATATGCTTAAGGTCAGAAAAGGAATAGGTTTAGATTGTAATTATGTTTGATCCCAAATTTGTGGTCTAGCAGTTTACTGACTTCAGTTTGTACTGAAGCTGTTTTTAATTACTTAAGGATGTTTTGAAGTTTTGTTTATTGTCTGTTTTCATTTTGTGTGTAGGGATGTGTTTTTCCATGTCAAGGGAAGAGAGTGCTTCAAAGTCTTGTCTCAGTTAATAGTTTGACTTGCTTCTGTAGTGTTTGGAAACAAGTCTAGTTAATGTCCATTATTCACATCCTTTCTGCTTTCATTGTAAATTGATTTTGTCCACTGTACCCATCCCCCTCTCCTTTATTTGTTTGTTTGTTTGTTTATGAACAGACCATAGATGCCATGGACCCTTGGGAAGATCTCACTGAGCTTGGTTATCACCTCACTGAATTACCTGTAGAGCCACACCTCGGTAAAATGGTGTTGTATGCTGTAGTTCTGAAGTGCCTGGATCCTGTTCTGACCATTGCCTGTGCTCTTGCCTGCCAAGACCCTTTTGTGCTGCCCACGCTGGCCTCCCAAAAGCGTGCAGCCGTGCTGTGCAGGAAGCGTTTTGCTGCCGGAACGTTCAGTGACCACATGGCCCTGCTCAGGGCTTTCCAGGTAGTCTTTCATTTCAGAGAGTACTAATCACAGCACATTCAAGCAAAATGCAGATGCACCAGTTGGATGTAGAGTGGCGGACTGTGATTAAGTGCTCAGAGAAGACTTTCTTTTTGCCTAGTGCCTTTCCTGTGTAAGGCATTACTTGGCAGTCTGGCTGGTCCACAGAAGAGGGAACCGTTTTTGTGGTATGTTTTGTTTCAAACATTATAAAATTTTGAATGTTCCAACAATGTGCCTCTTTGCATCCTACTACACTGAACTTTGAATCATGATCTTAATGTAATGATCTTTATTTATTGTTTTAACTTGACATAATCATCACTGTAGTGAACACATAAAGAGAATCTAATTGTTGAACAGAAAAAATAATCTGGTTTGATACATTAACTTTTAGAGTGGGTTTTGCATTCATTTTATTGACATAAATGTAATATTTTTAAAAAATGCAGTTTTTTAGTTTAAGTCCTTCAAATTAATAGGCAAATGTAAAAACATTTTCAGGCATGGCAGAAGGCTCGCAGTGACGGCTGGGAGAGAGCCTTCTGTGAAAAGAACTTCCTATCCCAAGCCACAATGGAAACCATTGCAGGAATGAGAACACAGGTGCTTGGCCAGCTTAGAGCCTCAGGTAGAGAAGTTGGAAACAATTTTAACATTGTTTTAAAGTCAAGCATATAGAAATTGTAACAAAAATCATGTTCACTGGTGTAATTTTCCTTAATTTGAAATACACCTTCACGCACACATTCATGCAGGGTATGGTGTAGATGAGGAATTGTGGCTGATTTAACTGAAAGCACCCTCATCTCCACATGCCACTGCATTTCATGTTTTAATGAATTATTCCCATAGGAAATGTCTTTATATTGTAGAAAATAGTGGTATTCTGTGTTAGTATGAAACCCCTTATCAGGAAGGATTTCAGTGTAATGGTTTCTTCTTGGTGCTGTTAAGGTTGGCAGTGGTGAAAAATGCAACAAAGAAGTCATTTATTTCACCTTTAGTTTCTGACTCCTTTTGAGAACCAAACACAAGCTAACATGGCACTGTTTTGTCTCTTTCATTTGTCAGGTTTTGTGAGAGCCAGAGGAGGAGCTGATATTAGAGATGTCAATACTAACTCTGAGAACTGGGCTGTAATTAAAGGTGCCTTAGTGGCCGGGATGTATCCCAATCTTGTGCATGTAGACAGAGACAGCCTGGTGTTGATGGAATCAAAGGAGAAGAAAGTGCAATTTCATCCTACCTCTGTTCTTGGTCAGTCTCAGTATAAAAAGGTAAAGACACTTTGAATTCATAGTTCAAAAAAAAGGGCACTAAAATCTGTCACGTGTTTTAGAAATGTCTTTTCTATTTGTCAGTACTTTAAAAGCAGTATAGGCATTTAACAGTAGAGCTTTAGAAAATACTGTTCTACCCAGCTGATAGAATTGGAGTTGATTGATTTTTCCATCGTTTCAATTAGTCTTTTCTCTAGATGGAACAAGGCAAAATGACAAAAAACTGCCCTGCTATAAAATTTTAAAGATATAATGATCCCTATTCTTAAAAGCAAGTTTTTCTCTGAAACTTTTTTTTAACATTTCTTTTTAAAGCAAAGTATTTTGTTTTATCATGGTAGGATAATTTATGAATCTGGTTGAATTCTCTCACGCTTTTTTATGTGCATGTATATTTTTATGTGTATATAATTGTACGTGTATTTAGTTCTCAAAATACAGAATCATAGAATGGTTTGGGTTGTAAGGGACCTTAAAGCTTATCTCATTCCAACCCCTGCCACGGGCAGGGACACCTTCCACTAGTCCAGGTTGCTCAGAGCCCCACCCAGCCTGGCCTTGAGCACTGCCAGGTTGAGGCATCCACAGTGTCTCCGGATAAAATGAGAAATACGTTCAAATTTATATTAATTACAGGTAGAGGGTTTAATAGCCTGGTTTTACCTGCTCTTGCACAGATTGCCCCAGCAAATGGACAAGCTGCAGCCATCCAGGCTCTCCCTACAGACTGGCTTATATATGATGAAATGACGAGAGCTCACAAGACAGCAAACATCAGGTGCTGCTCTGTTGTGACACCTGTCACGGTGGCCCTCTTCTGTGGACCAGCCAGACTGCCAAGTAATGCCTTGCAGGCATCTTCATCCTTTCGAGGTACACTGGAGTCTGGATTTGGGATGTTTCCGTTGCTATACATCAGCGTGTGACATGGAAAACTTATTTTTCAGTAATATTTAATACATGTATTGGCTGATTCTGAAAATAGCGCTGTTATAATTCCTGCAGCTATTCAGGAAGAGTTTGTTGGTTCTGTAATAAATCTCTCCATTTTGGGATTCCTTACATATTCAAGTCCATAAATTACACAGTTGTAGGGTCTCAGAAACTGTAGTATAGTTTGTAAGGAAAGAATACAGCCACAATGTCTAATGAGAACTGTAGTACTGGTACTGAGAAGTGTAGTATGCATGTTCTTTTTCTACAGACTACTTTACTTGATACATTGAACCAGATTATTCAAACAGAATAATTTAGAAACAATCAATATGGCAAACAAGTCATGTTGCTTCTAGCTAACACATACATTTTCAAGACATGTTCTACTGATAATTTTTAATTTCAGTTAACTGTACTATTAACTGTGAGTAATAGAGAATAGATAGAAATTTCCTTCTTTTTTCTGATTTAAATTGAGTCCTCTTGGAATGGAAGCAAAAATAACTGCTTCTAGTTGTCATAGTTTGAATCAAACTAAAAGTCCAACTTATTTCTAGAGCTTTCCTGTCTTGCTTTTAAACTGCGAACCTTAGAGTAGTGCTCATGCTGATTGAATTGCACTTAAGAAAAATAAAGAATCCTAATTAATAGCTATATGTATAGATTTTTTTTTTCTTACTAGGTCTTTAGATCTGCTGTTTTACTAGGAAATAGAGGCATGTGTGATTTTGCAAACAGCTTTAGGCAAAAGTTGTGTAGTGGCCTGTGGATACTGGTGAAGGTACATGAGTTGGGTCACATCATATCAATACAGGTTTTTACACAGCAGGACCTTCAGCAGGTCTGGCTTGATTGCTGCTATCTGGAGCAAAGACTTTGCAGTGTATTTGCAGAAAAGAAGAGGTAGTTTTACAAGTCAATTTTAGAAGGAAAAACATTATTGCTGGTAATACCGTAGTATGCGGGTTTTTGTGTAGAAATAATAGTAGAAAAAATATGGAAATGCTAATGCACCTTTTGTCTTTAATTCAGGGGGAGGGGTATCTAATGATAGCAGCGACAGTGAGATGGAGGACAAGACATCTGCTGATCTGGCACTGCTGAAGCTGGATGAATGGCTCCATCTCAGACTGGACCCTGAAGTAAGTAAGAAATTACTCCTGGGTTTGCTTCATGTAGAGGAATTGTAAAAAGATGTGAAAAGGTTTTTGTAACATTTGAGTAGCCAAGAATTTTCTCCATGAATGTCATGGTCCATTTCGGTCTCTCGAACTAGGTACTCTGTGATTTAACCTTTTCTTCACAAGCTCATCAATAATTAAATGGCTTCAATCCCCTTTGGCACAGAGTTGTCTGTCGCCTGAATCCGTGTATTCAACATCCAAGTTGCAGTGTTTCATCACCTATCACCCGTACCTTTCTATTCTTTTACTTGTCAGCAAAAAGAAAGAGAATAATTAGTCACCTAAGTCAACATTGAGAGTGCTCATCCCTCTTCCTCCATATTGATGTGGGTGTCCTGTCTCTCACAAAAGGGACCAGGAAAGCCTCAGCAATCCAGATGCTGTTGGGTCTGTTTCAAGAACTTTCTGGGCAGTATGATGTTTTATATCTGAGCTTGGCAGTTTTGTCCCTTTCCACACATCAGCAGATTCTGAAGAGACTGGCAGACAAAAGATAATGGCTGCAAGGGACAGCAAGCTGCAGGTGACAGTGACTGCATAAGGGCCCTTCTGCTCCTTCTGGCCTCCTGTCCTGCCTGCATGGTGCTCCATCAGGCCATAGCACGAGCTGGGATAGCCAAAATCTGAACAGGAGCTGAGAGAACAGTCACATTGGCATATTGTGTTCTTCTTTCTTTGAGAGGATAACCAAAATCAGATCAAAAAAGGAGCACTTGAAGCTGAAGTTGTTGAAAGAAAGTTGCTGTCAGATTTTAGAAGGATAAATTTCAAAACCTCTTTAAAAAAGAAGTCTTTATGTCATTGAGAAGCTGTAATTCCTGCCTCAAAATCTTCCTTTCAGCAAGGGGCCTCTTTGAAGAGATGCTAATTCTGATTTAGGGCTTTCAAATGACAGAGAATTCACTACATCACTAGAGAAAGGCAAGATCCCTTGGCCTTGCTTTGTATGGGGAATTTTATGCACACGGACTTTCAGAGTTCTAGTAAGTCAGGAGGAAGGGAGGCATGGAGCGTCCCCACAGGAGAAAAGAAGTACACAAGAACTGACTTAAAACTCTGATCTCTATTTAGGGGCCAGGGAGCAAAGAAGGAGGAAAAGCACTGAATTAGACATAGTAACTATGGGGCAATTCTCAGGAAAACCCCTGGTTAGAAGCCAGTTGTGCCCTGGGAGCTGTGATAAATGGATGTGATTCATGCTGAATAAGTTGTAATTATATCAATAATTTGGGAAAATAATTGGAAAAGTACATGTGATTAGTGTTATGAAGCAGATGAGTTTCTTCAAGAAACCATGTGGGAAGCAGGATGCAGGAGTTGGATTCAGCCCTGGGAATGCAAGAAGTTAGGAACGGACTTCCAAACCAAAACTGGCATCAGCTGAAATGAAAAGACAACTCCCAGAGCAGGATCGACCTTGCATATTAATAAAATTGGGACCATTCCAGATAGGGAACCTAAAATAGTGATCTTATGTATGAAATAATAAGGCTCAATTGGAACATAATGCTTACTTATATAACATCAAGCTCAATGTGAATACGCAACCTGCCAGGTCATTCAGAGGACAGTGAGGAAGACAGCGAGCCTTCCTCTGGAAAGACCACCAAAGAGCCAATAAGACCCCTTAACAACACATGTGTTATGCAGTATAGCGTCGTAGATTACAAGAATCAGAAATGGGAGGAGATTTACGGGAACTATTGATAAATATGTATTAGCATACAATATAAAAGTTGTGCTTGGATTCTTTTGCATTTCGTACAGGAGGCAGGGTGGGAAGCCCTCCCTGTACAGTGGTTGGTTTTGCTTATGCTTTATCTGAACCACTGCCAAATAACTCTTCGTAACTACTTCATTATATTTTATTGTATTATTATTTTATACCTCAATTAAAAAATAGTGCTAAATTTTATCTTGTGGGTTATGAAATTGGACATATGGGACCCCATTTATAACAGAGCAAACCATTCTCCTTACCAGAATGTGCACAGGCAGAGCAGCAGAACCTGAAACCCTTGAAGCATGTCTCTTTTAGGTGGCCCACAAGATAGCCAACCCACTTTTAGACATACTGGTGACCTCTGGCGCATCAGCTTTGCTCAGGTCACTGGGACAGGTGTTACTACCCTCAGATGCCAACCAGTTTCACTTGCATGTGTTGCAGCTTTATGCGTATCTGCTTTACTTTTGCCCCACTCATTGCTACACGGGCTGTTGTTACAGAAGCAGAGGTTCTCACCATATTCCTTCACTGTAAGAAGAATGCACTGCCTCTACAGAGAACTCAAAAGATGTTTGTGGTGAAGCAGAAAGCTTTTTGACATAGCACAGGGAAATCATAACTTACCAGGAATGCTCAAAGACTCTGCATCCTTAGTATGAACCAGCTCAGTGTATTTTAGGATAAGAACATTAGGAATTGCATTGTTCTCATCTTCTGAAAGAAGGCTACAACTCAAAATGATGCTTTCAATGTTATGTATTTTCAACTTTTCTCAGTAATTAAACAGTTTTGGATAGTGTCACTTGGCAAAATGAAGAGCACAAAATATTTGCATCCAATGAGGAGAAATACACCACTTGGTTTTTTTTCCAGGTGAAATTAAATATGGCATTTTTTTTCCAAATTTGTATGCAAGCAGAAAGAAAACAAAACCATATTGCTACATGTTGTGGTGGTCACTTCTGTAAATTTAGAGTTTGTATGCCTGTTAAAACAAAAAAGGCTTAAAATTGCTTTTTGAGAAAATGTGTATTTTGCTTGAGCCTAGTAGTTAAGAAACCAGACGAAAACATGGTTATGGGAAGGAAAAGAAACCTCTACGTGTTGCAGTTCGTGTTTTATGCTTATTTTATTAAGTTGATTGTTGGTCTGTTCTGGTATCCCCCAATGTTTTCCCCTAGTTGGTTTCTCCCTAAGTTGTGCCCTCCCTTCCAGGTGTCCCTCAAGGTGTCCCTTCCCCTTGTTCCAGACTCTTCCCTGCCTGTCAAGGCAAACCTGTCCCTTGTTCTAGAACATTCCCTGCCAATCATTCCCCAGATCAGTCCCCAACCAAGACCTCTCTCTTCCCCCTATGCTGATTAGTTGTTACCCCAAAACTCCACCTCTGGTATTTCCCTGTTGGTTCTCATTTTGTGTACACCCCGCTTTGCTATGATTTAAAATCCCATGCACAGAGGTGCTCAGAGGCATTCCTTGTCCTGGTCCCTCTGACCTTGTTGAAGTGTATTGGAACTTCACAGCCTGAGAGACTTCTTCTTCTTTGCCTAGTCCGTGCCCCGCTGCTTAGGAGCACCACTTCTCTGTTTAGAGCTTCGATAGCTCTAAAGTTCTGCCTGTGGCTCCACCCCAGCCAGGGCAGTTCACTTCGCACCCACCACGCTGGAATAACAGAGCTAACCTGGGCTCTGGTGCGCTGTGGCATCTACATATGTGCGCACACATGTTCTGGGAACCACAACAGATTCCCAACAGGAGTTCTGACACAGCCAATGACATTACTGCTTGCTGCAGTTATTTCCTGTGGAAAAGATATTCTAGTATAGGGAAGCACTGTGCACATGTGTGATCAGACAGTAGAAGTACCTTACTTAATCACCTGTAGTTTTACCTGTGTGTCATTGCAAGACCATCTATGTCATGCAGTCTAGGTGACTAAAGACCATAATAAAGTCACAGCTTTCTCTATTTGTTCCTAAGTGTGCACCAGGATCTGGATTATGGACCACATCTCCTCACATTCATGTAGGTAGCCAAGGGTATCCAGAAGCCCTGTCCTTTGGACATCTTCCAAAAGCCAGCATACCCTAGGAATCATGCCAGGAACAGCTGGAACAGCACAGTATGTCCAAGCTGTGGGCCTGAAAAACAGAAAGTTGGATTATCTCAGTACTTGTTACTGCTGTGGCTGGATGATCACCCTTATGACTGTGTGCAGAGGCTGGGCAGACAAAGCAGGCAACCACAGCAACCCAAGGATCTGCCAGTGCAAGGCAAGAGCAACCTGCAACTATAAACCACTGAGAGGGAGTGATCACAGAGACTATGTCCCAGATTGCAAGACAAGATGTATTCTACTTGCAATCTGTACAGCAGTTGTCTTCTGTTAAGTGGGCAGTTTTCCTTATCTCTTTCACAACCAATTCTCCCTCCCAGAGACATCTACTGATAACAGACTACTGAATGTCACTGCCTGACTGATAAGAACTATAACATCTCATTGTGAGATTCTCTGCCCAGAGGGAGGAGCCAAACATTCCTACCTGGATATAATCTGGGGTTTTGGGAAATCATATTCAGCCTTTCCACAGGTTCCCAAGAGGAACAGCTGGGTCTTTCAACTGGACCTTCAGAGGAAGACTACACCCTTATACAGGATCACTGCTCCAACAGAACCACATCTGCTGCTCCAGGACTGCAGCCATTCCAATTTAGACTGCTACCAACACCCTGGCCAAAAGGGTGTCTGGTTGTATTCTGACTCTGTCAGTGGTTTCTCTTTTGAATTATTGCATGTATTTTGTTTCTTTTCCCTTTTTCTAATAAATTGTATTTCTGACTTGAAGTCTCTCACTGGTTTTTGCTTTCAAACCCAAACAATCAGTGCATGTGGGGCCTGACACACAAATGTAACTGCCCCTTTCAAAACAATGGGTTGGTCATAATGCTAAATGGTAGTATCTTCCTCTGTGTCTTTATTAGTGTTTTGTGATTCACACAAAGTATTTTCTGGCTGGTAGCAGTTATTAATTTCTAAAAAATTATCCACACATTTAAGTACTCAAATTTTGTTAGATTCTGGTCAAATGAAACTTGCTGGACTTGAAAGAAAGTACTGCATAGCATTTGAAGAGTTTAGTTTTAAAAAACCGACAAGGCTTATATTTCCAGGCAAAATTGCTTTAAAAACCTTGTTTTGAGAATCATAGCTTAATAAACTGGTTGCTTAGTTGTTTTTCCACTCCAGTGTTAATTTAGAATGGATTAAGATCTGTGTTGTCTATTAAGGAAATGCATCAATTACACCTTTCTGAGGAAGATAATTTTTGTAAGGGAA